CCTGTTTAAAATATCTTAATTATTAATAATATTATTATTATTATTATTATTATTATTATCATCATTAATCAACATCATTATATATATTTTTATATTAATTTTAATTTTCACAAAAGACGCAAAAAACTTTGCCAGGTCGACTAGCTAGTGCATGTGTAAACAGAAATGTCATACAAAATAAAACAAGAGAGAATAGAGAGAAACCACATTTCATTGCCATATTAATTACATCTTGACTAAGGCCAAGAAAATAAACTACATGCTGCTAAAATGTGCTAGGTGCACCTGGGAACTAAATAATAAAGCTTATAAAATTCTATATAATGGGGCAATACAACTAATGCTACTTTACGCAGCCTCTGGCTGTGGTCATGTAACTAGTAAAAATTCAGTAGCAAGTAATTTACTCTCTCTTCAAAGCTAGTTTGCTATCATAATTTCAAAGTGCTACAGAACTGTTTTCACTAATGCCTCTCTGATACTAGCATAGCTCCTTCCTTTACCACTATGTATTGTAGAAAAGGTTCTAAACTACATCAGAACTACAAACGTCAAGGCTCAACAACAGTCTCTACTCCTATCTATGGCTGTTCATATGCTACCACATTGCAATTACCCTACTATCTCTGATCATCATCCTGTAAACAAGGATATTTGGTGTCATTTGCTTCCTCCATGGATAATCATGCAGACATTAATATCTACACAAATGGGTCCAAAAGCTCCCTTCTTGTCAGCTCGAGTATCTGTATCTTCCTCCAAACTGACATATTTTGCCAAAAATATGTTAGAAGGTACAGATATATCCCGCATACCTCTATCTATCAAGCTGAACAAGATGCTGACTACCAAGCTGTTCAGTGGGCCACTTCACTACCAAACAAAACTCTGTCTATCAACATTTATAACTTGATTCTGTCTGTCCTAAAAGCTGTATTAAATCCCAATTGCAATAGCAATAAAATCGCATATATCCAGCACAATATTAAAAATCTTGTAAATAAGATAATTTTTATATATGTTCCTGGCAATACTGGCATATTAAAGAATGAAAATGCCAAAATTGAGGTTAAGTCAGCTGCAAAGGAAACTGACTTGGACTACACTCACATCCCGCTCTCACGTAGCAGCCTTAAAAATTATATTCATGACAACGCTATGCAAAAGTGGAATCAGTAAAAGTAGTTGAGCAGTAAAACTGGTAGAATAACAAGACTTTATTTTCTTAGTGTTGAATGTAAGTTCTCATCACTATTTAGAGATTTAACATTTGCTACTGCTCAACTAATTACTGAGCATGGTAATTTTAGAAGCTACCTGGCGATGTATAACCAGGCAGAAACTGCTCCTTGCTTTTGCTCTCAGAAAACCTAGACACCGTCAACCATATCACTGTCCAATTTATGATCAAGATAGACTTATTCTGAAATTAGAAATTTTTACGCTTGGTTTCAGGTGGCATGTCCACTCGATACTCTTGTTCAGAAACCACTCTTTGACGCTTTTTACAATTATGTTCAAAAATATGGAAGAAAAGACTATTTATAATTTCTAATTTTACATTTTAGTTTTCACTAAAAGCCAAATACTAATTTTATGTTTACTTTGTATCATATATTTTGGTTTATGTGTTCTTAGTGTTATACACTCATAGGAGTGGTGCACTTATTCTGATTAAAAACAAGAGAGAGAAATCATCACATGGCCTTTCTCCCATGACAAAAAATGTGTAAAGTGTGAATCTGCTAGCGTTATTACTCTATCACGTCATACGAGACAATGAGTGTTCTTAATAGAAACCGCCAAATTCAAAACACCACCACTCAACGAGATCAAAAAATAAAAATAAGATTATTACATAAGACGATCTCTATTACCCCCTACCCCTGAGTACGTAATTTATGGACAGTCCCTAATTTATAACTTTTTTTAGTTGTTCTGAACAAATAGTATTTTAAAAAATTTAATCATAACAACAGAACAGAAATTATTATATTGTTTATTTCCCACAGTTTATTTTTTAATCAATGCAGATAACTACAGTAATATTTTTTATATTTATCTCTTACCTTCCACCTTCTAGAAAGTTGCAAACATCATCATCTCTCTGTGATACAAGTTGAAATGTTTCAATCAAAATTTTTTGTTGTGCTTCTTCTGGCTATATTAAATATTTTAAAATTAAATTAAGTAATTTTACATGTAATCATATTTCTTTCATTATTGTAATATACATATGTCATTATTTAACAAGCATTAGCATTACTTAAATGCTTCTCAGAAACTGGAACAGAGATCAATATTAAGCCATATGCATATGGTTATATCAAATATATAACCATATGCATATATTGATTAGTTAGATGCAAGACTATATTCATGGCTAAAACAGGTCTATAAAGACAGCTGAAAACATTTATATAAAGAACTAAAGTGTCACTGAAATTATTTTATGATTTCTTCTTGTCATATAAGCACTGGCATATTCAAGTTAATGTTTCTTGTTAAATAATAGAAACGTTACTAACTCAACAGTATTTGTATAATTCATTCTATTAAAACTGTCATCATTTCTCATCTAATCTTCATATATTTATATATATTCTATGTCTTAACAGATTCAACTTATAAAAAAATTGGGCTAACACTTCTAAAACACTTCTCATATTAACTTCTCATACACACTTGAGTCACTTTATTTTTCTTTTCTTTTAATAAAGAACATAATTTAATAATGAACATTACATAAGCTACATGTTATATAGTTATTCAAATAAACTACATGCTGCTAAAATGTGCTAGGTGCACCTGGGAACTAAATAATAAAGCTTATAAAATTCTATATAATGGGGCAATACAACTAATGCTACTTTACGCAGCCTCTGGCTGTGGTCATGTAACTAGTAAAAATTCAGTAGCAAGTAATTTACTCTCTCTTCAAAGCTAGTTTGCTATCATAATTTCAAAGTGCTACAGAACTGTTTTCACTAATGCCTCTCTGATACTAGCATAGCTCCTTCCTTTACCACTATGTNATATCACTAAGACCATCACACCATCTGTGTGATGGTGTGATGGTGCCATATTAAGATGGTGCACCAAGATCATCACACAGATGGTGTGATGATCTTGGTGCCATCCATCAATACGACAGCCCGTCACCTCTAGTAGTGATCCAATGGTTCATGATGACAGCTCAGTGATACGTTAGTGACATTTTGTACCCACATGTGTTGCCTCTCATGGGAGGGCTACCAATCAGGGAACTGAGCAGGCCAGGGAAGTGTGGCAATCTGGCAGAAGCAGTCCTGTGACACCCTTGCTGTGTATGGTTGAGCACTGTCTGTTAGAAAATGACTCTTGGTAGCCCTCCCATGAGAGACAACACATGTGGATACAAAATGTCATCAGCATACCACTGGACTGTCATGATCCATTGGATCACTACTAGAGGTAATGGGCTGTCATATTGACGGCACCAAGACCATCACACCACCTATGGGGTGCTGTGCTGTTCCAAGTCATATGCAAGATTCCGGTGTTCACCATGAGGCCTCTAGACATGAACACAGCCATCATCAGTGCTCAAACTGAATCTGGATTCGATGCTGTAGACGAGCCAGTTCCATTACATTGTGGTCCAATCCAATCAGGAATGACATCACTCCAAACAGAAGCAACAGGGGGTGCTGTCAATAACAACACATGTAATCACAGTTGCAATACCAAATGTTTCTCACCTGGGTGCCTCAAAATGGTATGGACAGACACAGAGGCATGTAATGATGGTGCCTCCCATGTCCAGATAGCAGACAATGATACAGCTGGCCATGTACATGCTTGTAGGAGGACCAGATAGTGGTCTGCCAAGGCATCCTGAGCATCATGTGTATGAGCTCTCTCTAATCCACTAGTCTCTACACCTCTTCACAGTGTTATCAGAACAGCCTAGGTGGTGCACTATTCAGCAATTCTCAACCCAATGATCCTTCTCCTCTCAAACTCTGTTAGTTGTTCATATGGTCTTTGATTGTGACATAAGGTCAACTCTAATGATACAACATCTCTCTGCAACATGTAAACTACAACAGGATGCCTTTATGTGTTTTTTATAGGCCAAGAGAGAGAGATATTTTAATACTCTCTTCTAGCATTATGCAATGATTTATCATGCTATAACTCTAATCTTTTCGATATCTGCTTGAGACTTATCTGTATGCCAAGTTTTGCATTGATATGATAACTCTTTCTTGGTGTGCACTTTTTATGGCAATGAGTGTAAAAATTTATATATATATATA